TCTGCTCTCCCCCACGTCCACCATCACCGAGGAAAAGTTTATGTACACCAAGCCTACATGCGCGCCTCGCTGAGCCTGACTGAGAGAGGCACGCTGGGAGGAAGAAACGCTCCTCTCCGTCTTCTGGGTTTCGCTGACGGACAGCTTACCTTTGAAATGCAGCGACTCGGTGGTTCGTATCTTCACCGTCCCGCTTATAGACTCCCCCGGACCGTAAACCACCTTGTTGTTGGTAAAAGTAATATCAAATTCCTGAAGCTTTCCCATGGCTCTGCTCCTCACTACTCCGCTACTTCCTCAGCTCTGCGTATCTCTGATGCTGCGCTCTCACCTGCTGCCGCGAGCTCCCTCCTCCCCACCTTCCTCACTCGCACGCCTGTGACGTCACGTTGACCTTTGATAACAGATGCGCTCATGTGTGGTTTAAGAGAAGATGATTGTTTGATATTGTAAATAAATGACCAGACTTATTTTTTATTTATTTATAATATCAACTATAGACAATAAAGCAGGAACCTTCAGGGCTGTGAAGTTCCAATAACTGCAGTTCCTTTACTGGCCACTAGAGGCTACAAATGTGAGTCAATTTCCCATGTAACAAATGCCCAACTTTACAGCATTACAAAGCATGTTTTCAGCACTGTGTTTTGACTATTGCCCCCTGCTAAGAATTGTACAGTGAGCAAATTCATTTATAACTCATGAATCAGGTCACTGGAGCAGCTTGATGTGTTTGCTAGGCCACCTCCACTATCTCGCGTCACTGAGCTGGACCTCTTGACCATGCATGCGGTGTTGGTGTCTTTTGGAGGATTTTAAAACACTTTTTTGGGTCAAATATTCTTGGACACAGATCATCCAGGTAGTTTCTCCTCTGGTTTTCTTGCCTCAAAGTTGTTGTTTTTAAAATTTTTGAATAGTATTAATTAGTATGCTTGTGCTTGTGCTTGTGCGTCATTCACAAGGGCAAGAATGGTGAGAATAAATGGATGTCACAAAACAGCCACGAGCATTCATATTCATTACAGGCCTGAGAGTTGAGTGAGGCATGATAGTTCCCATTGAATATCCAACACTGTCTTTGTTTGAGTTATCATTCCTAATTAAATGTAACACTGGTATTAACCCCCTAATCTATCTGCTTTTTAACTAAATGTTAGTTTTTATTTATTTTAAAGTTTACTTATTTATATCTGTGTTCACCCATATCCACCCAATTTATGTTCCCAAACTAATTATTTATTAATTTATTCATATAAGGTCTACTAATTAAAAATGTGTTAAAGCATCAGTATATTGCCTTTGGTTAATTAGTGACAGAATTAAAAGAAATGCCGTTTTTTGCAGGTAAATGATGATGCAGTGTAGATTTGTGTTTTCTCTTTAAATCTTGACACTTCCACAATGAATAAAAGTATAGTATCATTATTGTAAACAGTATTTTGTACGTGAAAAATCTGAGGAAACGTTGCAAACAAAACATTAAAAAAATCTGTTTTGTTTTTTGTTCTTTGTTTTTAAATTTTCTTTGTTTTGTTTTGTTGTCTCCCTGAATGGCCCTTTAGGGATTTAACAACACTTGCAAGTGTTTTATCCTGCTGGATAAAAATGAAAATTACCACTTGTGCAAATGACATTCTACCTGCTGGGTTGTTTAAAAATGCTCTCTCTGCCATTGGCCCCTCTATTGTAGAGATATGCAATGCCTC